TCTACATTATTTTTATGGTAAAGCCTAGTGTACGCTTGCGTTCACACTTATTATTTGTACTTTGATAATTTCGATGATCCCACATGCCTACCTAGCGTGAAACCCACGAGCATGTCATGAAGGAAAGGCATGACACAAGATCATTGTGAGTGGAGGAATCCGTTGTGGATTCATTCAACCACATATGTGCATAACCAGTCTTGTAGCAAAAACGAATCAAAGGAAACTATAGAGGGAGCTTTTCTATGCAACGCTTTTCCTTCCACTTTCACTCGTCCAATAGTATAGGTAGTCCTTTTTTTCTTTAGATTCTGAAACCAAACAAGAGGAACTTCAACCTCAGAGTCACTTCAACCTTCACATTCGTTTTACAAACCTAAAGAGCAGATCCCTTATTGTTTTATTGACTGAGTAAAGAAACGTGCGAGGCTCGAATGAATTATGATTCTAGTTACCAACTATATATGTAAATTTGAACCATGTTCTACAACAAATAAATAGTTATATGTTTCATCTAAACCAATCACGTGCTTACAGCGCTAACTAACCAAAGCGTTGTTGTTTTAATCGAACAACATTTGGATCACTTTAGATTTGGGTGATCCACCTTCTTCGCTCTAATTTTCAGTTTCAGCGAACAACTTCCAAATATCTTCTAATACGAGCAACGTTCCCGTTCAAACTTTAGTATTTTGGAAATTTTTTGTGTAAGCAATGTGAGAATTTTCTTTTTTTTTTAAGTAATCACTATACTTCTATTTAGGGGTGGCTATACGGTCCGGTCCGGTTAAATTGGCCCAAATTGATCCGGTCCAGTCCGGGTTTTTTTAGAATATAAGGACCGAAGATTGGATTGGATACAGTCCGGTCTTGATCCGGTCCGGTCCCAATTCGGTCTTGATTTTATATTGAGATTGTGGGAATTTGAGTGGCCTAAGGCCTAAAAGGGTGAGGAGTTGGTTAAGTTTTGTACTAAGTGTAAAGGTTTGTGACCGTTTATGCAAATTACCCTTAAGTTTTGGGTGTTGATCTCTCTTATCCGGTCTTTATCCGGTTTTTTACCTCAAATCTAAGCCCAAATATTGGATTGGATTGTTTACTATCCGGTCCCGGTCCGAGTTATACGGTCCGGTTTCCGGTTTTTCATCCGGTCCCGGTCCAAATAGCCAGCCCTACTTCTATTCTCTCCCGTGGGTGTGAAAATTCAAAGTTTGTTGTAACATTCAAATGGGCCGATGATATTTTGGGCTAATGTGCATACGTACGTGGGACTACCGTTAATAGATCGGTAGAAAAGCCCAGATTCTTCTGGATTCCACTCCAAGCAACAAATCCAATTTGGAAACTGAAGTCTGAATCCGAGGAGGACGAAAAGAATTCCGACACAGACACCTCACACCTACCAATAAATTGCCTAAAATTGCCAGATTTCTTCGGGGTCACATCACGTCTCGACTTTCCTTCCCCGAAACCCATTTTGCCGGCGATCGGAGCGCAATCGAAAAGTAGGCCGCTTTCCGGCAGCGGGTTAGATCATGGATTTCGAGCTGAGAAGGGCGAGGGAGAAGTTAGAAAAGGAGCAGAAGGAGAGGAAAGAGAGAGCTAGATTGAGACTCGAAAGGGATAGGAAGGCCAAAGAAGAGGCTCGCAAGCAGCGAGAAGCCCTCGAAGCTGTTCAGAGGTCCCGGAGGCTCGAAGCTGCCGAAGCCCAACTCAAGGTAACCCTCCTTCTTCTTCATACCATACCCCTATTGCTCCCTTCTTGCCCTCGATATTTTGGTTTCTTACGATTCATGAAGAAATCTAGACTTTTCTGGGTTCATTTCGAAAATGGTAAAAGAACCCAACTTTGATCGAATTCCGTATGGAACCCTCGATTTTAGTGATTAGAATGTTTTGAGTTTTTAACCTTTTTCTTTGCCGTCATGCTAACCTCTGTTAAATGTGCCTTACGAGAAATTGGTTTACGTTTACAGGCAGATGAGCAAATGCAAGAGAATTTGATTGCCGGGAGAGGAATTGTGTTCTCTCGTGTGTTAGAAGCTGTAGGTTTCCAAGGAAGTGGGGATAAGATCAAACTGCCCCCTTCTTGTTTCACTGAGTTATCCGATCAAGGTGCTTTTGATAAAGGGCCATTGTACTTCCAGTTATCCGTGGTTCATCATGAAGCTGTTTCCGAAACCAACCAGAAGGAAACCCATTCTGGTGCTCTGGAGTTCACTGCAGAGGAAGGTCAAGTCGGGCTTCCTCCTCATGTATGGAGTAACCTGTTCCCCCTAGACAACACCACTTCTCCTGCAACTGCTTTAGTTGAGGTTCGCTATGTGTGGCTGCCTAAAGGAATTTATGCAAAGCTTCAACCGGATGTGGTGGGCTTTTCGGACATCCCTAATCACAAGGCTGTACTCGAAACGAGCCTCAGGCAGCATGCTACGCTTTCCGAGGGCGATGTGATCACTGTTAACCATGGGGTGTTAACTTACAGGTTGAGAGTACTCGAGTTGAAACCCTCCTCGAGTGTCTCGGTTCTTGAGACAGATGTTGAGGTTGATATAGTGGGGTCAGATTCTCCTTTGGATAGCTCCAATCAGCATGTGTTGAAGCAACTGACATTTGGAGTGTTGGAATCTGGAATGGTTGAAGAGGGAAAATACAAGTACTATAAGTTCTCAATTGATGATCTCGTTTGGGAGACCGTCTCTTCTGGGGATGTTAGGATTGAGGTGAAGATTGACGTTGAGACTGGTGATGGTGATACTGATCTTTACATTTCCAAGCATCCGCTCATTTTCCCGAACAGACACCGACATGAATGGTCTTCGCATGACATGGGTTCGAAAGTACTGATCCTGACCTCGAAAGACAAAAACTTGGGAGTGGGAACTTATAGCATTGGTGTTTATGGCTTCAAAGGAACAGCCAAGTATAAGGTTTTGGTGAGTGCACAAGATAATAGCACCTTCAAAGTAGGTCAGCAGGCTGGATCGACTACATCAGTGTCGGTGAATGCTGACACTGTTGAGTGCAGAAATTGCAAGCATTTCATACCCAGTAGGAGCATTGCACTGCACGAAGCTTATTGCAGCAGGCACAATCTAGTTTGCCAACATCCCGGTTGTGGTGTAGTTCTGAGGGTTGGCGAGGCCAAGAACCACCTCCACTGCGACAAATGTGGGGAGGCATTTCATAAGGATGAAATCGACAAGCACATGAAGGTTTTCCACGAGCCTCTACAGTGTGGCTGTGGTGCGGTTCTCGAGAAGGAACAGATGGTAAGCAACTCGATTCCTTTTCCCTTATCTCATTATCTTGAAATGGCACTGTGTTCTGTATTCTTATTGCGCTGTTCGCATAGCATGTCATCACATGATTGATTTAGTGGCTTCAGTGGATATATTGCGTCCAGTCTAGTACATGAACATGATTTCTTCTTTTACAGAAACATCTGGATAAAATTCCAAAAAAAACATTCTTATGTATGTTTATCTAACTGTTGGTTCAATTATCCGGTGCAGGTGATACACCAAACTTCTGTGTGCCCACTACGACTCATCACATGCCGCTTCTGTGGCGACATGGTTCAAGCTGGGATTTCGGCCATGGACACGAGAGACAGATTACGAGGGCTCTCGGAGCACGAGAGCCATTGCGGGTCTAGAACCGCACCATGTGATTCGTGCGGTAGATCTGTCATGTTGAAGGAGATGGACATTCACCAGGTAGCAGTTCACCAGAAGAGCTGATGTTAGAATGTAAGATTTTAAGAGAGGAGGAACACACAGGGGCAGCCATGTTTCTATTCATATTGTTGTATAGCTCATCCCAAATGTATGATCCATGAGTGAAGTTTCTGGTTTGGCTTCACTTGTGGTGTTGTGGAACTCTCCCAATTTGATTGACTTGTAATATTGCTTCTGATTATTTATGCTTCTCCAACCCACTAAAGACTGGAGTTTCCCTCGAGAAATGAAATGGCATGGATCGGGTGGTTTTCGTCCCTTTAGTATTCCATTGGAAGCTTAGGGCATGTTCCTATGTCAGAGTATAATTCAATCTATAATTAAACGTAAAGAATTTAAAGCTGCGGCTTCATATTCCACCATCTATATATTAGACTGTCAATAACGGATGATTCTGATATAAAACGAATAGATACTTGATTAAGGAGATCAGATCGCAAATTATGTCAATACAACCCATAATTTGCATATTAATATCTTACCATTTTAACCCCTCTTCCGTTTTCTTTCACTGCCGGTTACCAAACCCAGTTAACCAGATAAACATTCTCTTAGAACTCAAGATATGAATGCAGAAACGCCATTATACATGAGAATCCGCATACGAAGGAACTAATAACTCAAATTTAGAAACAAATTTCTGTATTAAAAGCTAAAGATACATATACACTATACAATCAGCCTGAGGACACACATTATCAATAGCACTACTATTATTTTCCCGAATTTCGTTGGCAGGGTGATAGAATTGAAGTCGGATACATTCAAATATTAATAAACGGTATGGTTGGCGATCTCAACCGTTAGATGCATGTGTTGATTCATAAAATCGTCGCATAATTTTAAACATTAGCTACATACAATTACGAGTAAACGACCGCAACGAACCATATCAGCAAGTGATCACCGCATCCTGTCTGCATATTAGCCGGATCATTTACAAGAAGGAAAGGAAGGATTGATTTCCTTATTATCCAGCAAGCAAAGAGGAGCCCTAAAGACAAAAGAAAAATAGCCGTTACAATGGTGGTTCCCACCAACCATCACATGCCTGCCACGTGCTTATAGCGCCAGTATTTTTCTTTTATTTTTAGCGCCACAAACCTCCAATGAATCATCATAATCCTCCTCCGTAAGGAAATTAATTACTCAGCAAATTTAAGAAGAGATGTAACGGCAGAAGATTAATCGTCTTAATCTTAATGTTAATTAATATATACGTTTATATATATATAAAGAAGGATTCTTTTATTTATGATTAAAAAAGAAACCGCCGAAGGATTTGCCGCATTGTGGCTGGCTGGCAGCAAGACCCGAACTCTGACTTCCTTTTGATATTCGCTTTCAATTTCAATCTCAACAAGACTTCTAGCTCTGTCGCCGGGACTTTCTGCCGGCGACGTAGCCAGTTCGAAGCGTCCTTCAACTGGGAAAAGGAAAGCTGCTACCTTTGGCAGTTCTTTCCAGGGCTCTGGTTTAGTAACGGCACTCTGCTTTCTGGGCCTTCCACTGTCGGGGTCGAGAAATTGGGTTGCACTCCGATTGTGGAGTTCCCGGCGGGTTCTTTCTTCAGTGTGGGCGGTTCGGCCCCGTGAACAGGTAAAATAAGTAGAGTTTGCGGCTTTTCGGACACTCTCTGTTATTTTCTATGGAATATTCAAATAGAAACAAATTGGTTACTTTGTTTGTCTGGGTAAAATGCTGAAGAGGGGAAGCCGTCAGAAAAAGATCGGCACAATCTGTTTGGTTTCGGGGGAAAACAGAGAAGCCTCTGTTCTTTTGAGTGAAATTAAGTTTCAATGGCTGCCCAATTGCAGTATGATTGAAAAGGGTGCGTCTTTATCTTACTAGAAGATAGTTTTCCCAATTGGGTTATGAAACTTCATACGATTTTTCTTTTCTTATGAAACTCCAACATGAAAAAAGAGAAAAAAAAACTGATGAATTCCCACCATTCTGTTTTGATTAAACTGCGTCTCTCTTTTCAATCGCAGGAAACAGATTCTTGAGCAAAGTTGCTGTGAACATTAGCCATGGCGACAATAAGTGATATAGGCGTATCAGCAGGCATCAACATACTCAGTGCATTTGTTTTCCTCGTTGTATTCGCCGTACTCCGAGTTCAGCCATGGAACGATAGGGTCTACTTCCCCAAATGGTACCTCAAGGGTTTAAGAACTAGTCCGATTGAATCGGGGACACTAGTTGGGAAGTTTGTGAATTTGGACTTCAGATCATATCTCAAGTTTCTCAATTGGATGCCTGAAGCGCTTCGAATGCCGGAGCCGGAGCTAATTGATCATGCTGGGCTGGACTCTGCTGTTTATTTGAGGATCTACTTGTTGGGGTATGACGCTTGTTGGACTTCTGTTACCAAATGTGATGAACATCACTACTTGTAAATGTATGCCTGATTGTCTTGTGTTGTTGTTTCCTCTTTTCCTCTCTTTTCCAATTGCAGGCTTAAGATATTTGTGCCAATTGCAGTTCTGGCATTTTCAATTTTGGTGCCAGTAAATTGGACAAATAATACATTAGAGAAGACTGATTTGACTTTCAGTGACTTGGATAAGCTTTCTATATCCAACATTCCACTTGGATCACCCAGGTAATAGTCACTCCCTTTTGCCAAGTGATGATGTATTGCCTGCCTGCTTATTGGTTAATTTTGCTTTGTCCTTTGGGTGAACAGGTTCTGGACCCATTTGGTGATGGCTTATGCCTTCACTTTCTGGACATGCTATGTGTTAAAGAGGGAGTATGCAACTGTGGCTTCGATGCGGTTGCATTTCCTTGCATCAGAACATCGTCGCCCTGATCAATTCACGGTAACACGAACCCCTATCAATCGCCATCACTCTCTATCTCACAATTTCAGCCAAAGCGTCGTTAGATATGAGTCTACAATGTGGGGTGTTAAGAAACAAGTTCTTAGAGTGTCCTTTCTTTGTTTGTGTAGGTACTTGTTAAAAATGTGCCTCCAGATCCTGATGAATCAGTTGGTGAACTTGTAGAGCATTTCTTCTTAGTCAATCATCCAGACCATTACCTCACTCAACAGGTTCGAGTCCATAGATTTCGGGAAGTGTATAAGTTTCGAGAAGGATCCTAGAATCTTACTGAATTGAATCATCTTGCAGGTTGTTTACAATGCCAATAAATTTTCCAGCTTAGTCGCCGAGAAGAGAAAATGTCAGAATTGGCTAGACTACTACCAAATCAAATACTCGAGAAATCCTTCTACGAAACCCACAACAAAGGTATTATTGCTTGCTCCAAGAGTATCTTGTTTATATGCAAGAGAGAGCTTGATGCACTATTATACTTAGAGGTTTAGTTCTCTTCACTAATGCATTTTCCCTCTTTCATCAAACAGACTGGTTTCCTTGGCATTTGTGGGGAAAGGGTGGATGCAATCGACCACTACACATCTGAGATTGCGAGAATATCAGGAGAAGTAAGCCAACTGTTCATTGTTCTTTAAGCCACATATCTGGAATCACATCATGAACAATCCATAACCCTCCTGGCTTTCAACCAGAATGCTCCTAACTTTCTCTAACCTTTTCTCTAGATCTCAACGGAGAGAGAGAAGGTGGTGAGCAACCGGGATGCAATCATGCCAGCTGCATTTGTTTCCTTTAAAACAAGATGGGCTGCTGCCACTTGTGCACAAACACAGCAATCCAGGAATCCGACACAATGGCTGACTGAATGGGCTCCTGAACCCCGGGACGTGTACTGGGACAACTTGGCCATACCATATGTTTCACTCGCGATCAGGAGGCTCGTCATTGGTGTCGCGTTCTTCTTCCTCACCTTCTTTTTCATGATCCCAATCTTATTTGTGCAGTCCCTTGCAAATATTGAGGGAATTGAGAAAGCAGTTCCATTTCTGAAACCAATCATTGAGATGTAAGGACATGTAGCTTCTCATGCCAATCTCTTTCTTTACTTTGCTCTCACGTCTCTACTTGAAATTTAATAGCCATCACTTATACTTGCTGGGCTTCTTTTGTTGCAGGAAAGTCATAAAGTCTGTTATCCAAGGTTTCCTTCCTGGACTCGCTCTCAAGTTGTTCCTCATCTTTCTCCCCTCCATCTTGATGATAATGTCGAAATTCGAGGGATTCATTAGCCTTTCCACATTGGAAAGGAGATCTGCTACCAGATACTACATTTTCCAGTTCATCAATGTGTTCCTCGGCAGCATAATCACTGGAACTGCATTTCAGCAGCTAGACAATTTCATCCACCAGTCTGCAACCGAGTATGAATGATCTCTCCATACTACTATTTAGCTGTTGAAATTTTACATGGTACAAATTCAAGGATAGCAAACTGACTTGATTGTAATATATTGTGCAGGATACCAAAGACGGTTGGAGTCTCTATTCCTATGAAGGCGACTTTCTTCATAACTTACATAATGGTTGATGGGTGGGCTGGAGTTGCTGGTGAGATACTTAGGTTGAAACCTCTAGTAATCTACCACTTGAAGAACTGGTTCCTGGTAAAGACCGAGAAGGACAGAGAAGAGGCAATGGATCCAGGAACAATTGGCTTCAACACAGGCGAACCGCAGATACAACTCTACTTCCTACTTGGCCTCGTATATGCAGTGGTGTCCCCTATCTTACTTCCCTTCATCATCCTGTTCTTCGCCCTGGCATTCGTTGTTTATCGGCATCAGGCAAGCTCACAGTCACATAAATTATGTTCCTTTCCAGTGACAACATCATCCAATATGTCTTGACAAATGATTGATTTCATTCATGAATCATGATCATTTTTGCCAGATCATAAATGTGTACAACCAGGAGTACGAGAGTGGTGCAGCATTCTGGCCCGATGTCCATGGACGAATCGTGGGAGCATTGGTCGTCTCTCAACTGCTGTTGATGGGGCTAATGAGCACAAAAGAAGCTGCGCAATCAACACCATTGCTCATCACACTCCCCGTGTTGACGCTGTGGTTCCATCGCTTCTGCAAAGGCAGATATGAACCTGCGTTTGTTAAGTATCCATTACAGGTTGGTAAAAAAAGAATGGCACACTCCCATTTAGCCCCTCCAATGCCATAGCATATTGGAAAACCACATTTGCTTAGTGAAGTTCCCTTTTTTTTTTTCAGGAAGCGATGAGGAAAGACACTTTAGAGCGCGCCAAGGAGCCGAACCTCAACCTGAAAAGCTTCCTCCACAGTGCATATGTGCATCCAGCATTCAAAGAGGCAGACAATGAAGGCGATGATAGCGACGAGGACTTGGTCTCGACGAAGCGCCATCAAAGTAAACACAGCAGTAAACACAGTTTTTCATCTCTGCCTGAGGACCCGGAACGTTCACTGCTTTGATTCTAATGACACTCCTTTGTGGAGGAAAAGGGTTTGTCCTTCAAAACTTTTTCCCCACTGTAAATGCTCTTTCTAGTCTTAAAATGGTGGGTCAGAAATGGTGTTAGTTTGAGCTGTATAGAGGGAAGCAATCATTTTGAGAGGCATGATCGACAGAGAAAGAAAAATAAAGATAAAGATCCTTCCTTGTATAGGATTTTTGTCATCGTATGGTTATTGGTTAGTTCTTGTTTTAGTATGTCTTTCTCCATGAGTAGTTGATGATGGTTTAAAGCGTGTTTGATTCAATTCAGTTTGTTTTTCGTCCAGTTTTAGGAGGTTTTATGAATCTTATTCGCATCGAATTACATTCGATCAGGTTCTAATCAATCCATTGAGAGCTGATTCGTTACAGTTGGAAACAAATTTGCCTTCCTGGAGATGAAGGAGCATTCACGGCAAGTTCCAACTGTATGGAATCGGAATCTTTTTCAGTTAAAAATTGATTTGGTCGGCGTGACTGTGCGTCTGTGCCAGCATCTCTTTTTGTGCTTTAGCTTACCGAAAGGCAAAGGCCCATTCTTATTTGCCCAAATTCCACTCTTTTGTTCTATATCCTTGACCTTTTCCATCCTAATACCAAATCATATTCAATGAAATAAAATAAAATAAAAATCGTCAGCAAGCAAACAGTCCCACCTCTGTTCCTTTTGTCAATAATGCAACGACGCAATTGAATGAGAAAGCCAATTAGCAAACAGAGGGGAGAGAGAGATCGCCCTATCGCCTATCCGCCTCCGGAGCTTAATTGTACGATCGGCATTCTCTGATCTGAACTTCGATCGCTCCGGCGACAGATGATGGATGAGGTGATGACCACCGCCGACGCTGCGACACTGGGCAGGGCGGCGCTCTCTATGGCTCAGACGGCCTCTTCGGCGCTTCTGACTCCTCCGACGCATCCATCGGATTCTTCTTCTCCGCCATCGCCGCTGCTTCCGAGCAACCTCCCGCTGATTACGGCCTTCCTCGCCTTCGCTCTCGCTCAGTTCCTCAAGCTCTTCACCACTTGGTCAGCATTTCGCCACTCCCCCTCCTTTTAACTATAAATTTAATTTCCAGAAAATCGGAGGAAGAGTTCTTTGATTTGTGCTAAAGATTGAGGAAGTCATGATTTGAAAACTTTGGGTGTGGATTGGGACCTAGATGATCAGGTTCAAGGAGAAGAGATGGGATTCTAAAAGGATGGTGGACTCTGGCGGAATGCCGTCTTCACATTCCGCCACCGTTACAGCTCTGGCTATGGCCATTGGCTTACAAGATGGAACCGGATCCCCTGCTTTCGCCATTGCTGTTATCCTCGCCTGTATTGTATGTTCTATCGTACTGACACTATTTGCTAGTTCCCCATCTTTACCCACATGAGACTCCTGTGTGTGAAACAATGAGCTTATAATTTCTTTAATGCAGTTGAAGAATTTTGTCCCTATGTGTAGAATTTCAGCAATGGAGCCTAATTGTTTGTGTGGATTCATGAGCTCCCCCTAATTTTGGGTTATGTGATTGAAACATGCTTCCATTTTTCAGGTGATGTATGATGCTTCGGGTATAAGACTTCACGCCGGTCGTCAAGCTGAAGTGAGCGATCGCTTTCACAGATTCTTTGCTTCTATGTGATTGGCACATTCCACATTTGCGTCGTAAGATGATCATGTCTCACTGTTTCCTTCTGCCTGTTCTTGCAGTTGCTGAATCAAATTGTGTGCGAGTTTCCTCCAGAACATCCATTATCCAGTATCAGACCTCTGCGCGAGTTACTTGGACACACTCCATTCCAGGTTTGCTTCCTTTTTAGAGAGCATTTGCCAGTGTCATGGCTTCTCTCGACTCTCGAAGAGTCATCCATGCGGACTGTGATTACTCTAGGAAAAAAGAGTAGTTTCGAGGGTAGGAAAAACACGTTTTAAATCATGCTGCTGAACCATAATGCAGGTTGTCGTTGGAGGAATCTTGGGCTGCATAGTAGCTTACCTGATGAGAAACACTAACTAAAGTAAAATGGACACTGAATTTCCTTACAGACCAAAAGGGAATGCTTCAGTTTCAGTATATCCCCAGAAATTGGAAGTAGCTGAGGCAGGGAAAGGAAGGGACTTTTATGTACTCTCAGAGCACCATACTTCCAGTGATCTTTATCAATTCTTAAAAAGAAATCCATAAGTTATTCTTCCTGTACTTAGACTGCTGTAATTTTTATTTATTTACAAGAGAAGGTTTTCAATTTTCATGCTTGCCTCTGTTTTTGAATAGCATGTGAGAATACATAGACAATTGTTATTCTGTTCCATGTAGCACATCCCGTGGTCGGCAACTGATTATAAACATCCGGCCCACTCCGATTTGTGACTAAATGCTTCTTCAGTTCACCTTCTCTTCTCTTCTTCATGACCCCATAGGGTAAGTTCCTCCGATGTTTGGCCAACCGCCAGGGTCTTCCCAGGAATTACGCTATAAAGGGCCACAGGGAATTAAACCGTTCAATAATCCGGTGATGAACAGTGTTTCCCGACGAAAGTGCCATTATTTTCGGTAAAAGTGTGTCTTACGGCGCCGTAGGGGTTAAGAGTTTCCGATTAAAGAGTGGTTACAGCTATTTTGTCGTAATGAACAGTAACTTTATTGTTTTGGTAATTCTGATAACTTGTGTTTTAATAATTCTAATAATTCCGTCAATGGCTCCTTAGTCCATTGTTGTTGGAAATTCTTGTCAAATCAAGTTGAATGTAATGGAAAAGCAACTTGAATTCAATTTACTTCGATTATTTGCATGGAGATCTTTTTCTCTTACATATTCGTTACCTTTTAAGCATTACTTCCATTTGGTGCATTTCTATTTCTATCTTACTGTAAACAGGGAACAGAAGGATGATAAAAGGATCTAGACACCTCACACCTGCAATAACTAGTAACAAGTTCTCTTCATCCTTCTACCGTTATTGATTCATTGAGGAGAATTCCTCTAGGTTAAAGACAACCCATAAATGCTATTAACTATGAGAGCTTTCTTGCTCATGTGCACAACCAGTCCTCTCCTTCTCATGCAGTTTCAACTTTGCATTCTTGAAACGGCCTCCTCTCCCCCTCTCCCTCTCTCTCATCTTCACTTCACACACTTTAAACACCCTATTTTAATGGGTTCTCTCTCTTCTTCCTTTCTGCACTCCCCACATTGTAAGAGTGAGCAAACAGAGTGGGTTTCCTGGTGTTCCTTTTCCCATCTCTTTTCAACTCCTCGCTAAACCATGACAAAGAAGAAGCTACTTTCATCCCCACCAAAGCTAAACCATCTCTCATGGTTTTTCTGCAAGATGTTCACCAATTTTCTCCTGCTTTTGTGCCTTCTGGTTTATCTCCAATTCAATCCTCAACACCACAACCGGTTTCCTCATGATCCATCATTCTCTTCTAGCTATGAGAACTTTCAAGGCACCCCTAAGATTGCTTTCCTCTTCCTTGCTCGCCACCGCCTCCCTCTTGACTTCCTATGGGACAACTTCTTCAGAGTCTGTGTTTCCCTATCTTTCTCATCTCATCTCATCTCATCTGGATCCTGGTTGCTTCACTTTCTTTCGTTTGAACATTATGTCTCTGATATTTTTTGTGGGTTGCAGAATGCTGATGCTGACAAATTCTCAGTCCATGTTCATTCCGAGCCTGGTTTTGTTCTGAATGAGACAACCACAGACTCTGAGTTCTTCCATGGTCGACAGCTGAACAAGAGTGTTCAGGTAACATTGTTTCTTCTTGCTCCATCCAATCATGGGTAGTTTTGTTCTTTTCCACAAGTTTTCTTTCGTTCTTGGAGATTCTGGGATCATTTTGTGTATACCTGTGTCGTCAAAATTTCAACTGTACTTCTGAAAAACTTTGAGTTTAATGAACCAAATATAGTATGATTATATACAAAAAGTAGTAGTCATAGAATCTTATGTCTCCTGATAGCAGAATCTATGAATTCAGTAGAACCAGGGCAGAACCTAGGTTTTTAACAGGCTTCTAGCCTGGTTTGATGAATGGAAATTTAAACCGGTCATGCCTAACAGATACTGAATATGGATAAAGTAATGATTTTGTTGTAAACAAAGTGATAGTTGACAAACTTTATAGGGTGTTATTGGTAACTAAAATGCTTTTTATACAATTCGTTAATACCATTTGAGAATATTCCAATTTTGCGTAGCTTTTTTTATTCCATGTAAAATCTGTAATTCGACCACCTTGAGTGTGATTGAAGGATTGTACATGGAATGTTACAGTTTTCAAATTGATAAATGCTGTAGAGATAATAGAATCAATTTAACTGTTGAGATAGATTATCGTGAAATATCACAGTGATCTGTCCACTTTCAATTTAACTTTTAAGGCAGGATTAAAAAAGAAATGTCGACACTAAATAGTTAGATCTTTCGCTCCGGATCTAATTGATTTCAATCTCTGTTGAAAACATTATAGTTATTTCTCATGATCCATATAATCTTATGATTCTATTATTGGCTTCTAGCTTCTGATCTGTGGTCCTCCTTGGTGTTAATCAGGTTGTATGGGGTGAACCAACCATGATTGAAGCTGAAAAGTTGTTGCTCGAGGCTGCTCTTCATGATCCAGCCAATCAGAGATTTGTTCTTCTCTCTGACAGGTTTGCTGGTTCACTGGTTTCCCTTTTCTCCTGCCACTGCAGCCATTAGTATATTCTTATATATGTATTCTGGTATTTAATCCTGCAGCTGTGTCCCTTTGTACGACTTCAGCTACACTTACAGCTACATAATGTCCTCCCCCAAGAGCTTTGTTGACAGGTAAATGCACATATTTTAGCTCCATTTTCGGGTCCTCAAAACATGTTAGGTATGACTTCTTTTCTTTTGTAACAAAAGTTGAGGTTTCCATAGCCGTTTGTGTGTTGTTGCAGCTTTGTTGATGAGTCAACAGGCCGTTATGACCCTGATATGTCTGCCACAATTCCCAGAAGTAAATGGCGAAAAGGATCGCAGGTATATTTTCATAGATTGTGTAACAATTCAAAATTAACTCAAAACATTAAGCTTAAGGCTTAATGATATCAAATTGACAGTGACAAGTTCTTATGTCTGGAATTACTAAGCAGTGGGTCACTTTGGTGAGAAAACATGCTGAACTTGTTGTTAACGACAATTTCGTCTATCCCATCTTCAAGAAATACTGCAAGGTACTGTACTTTCAGATTCTCAGACACTTCCAGAGCTGAACCTTTTCCACTACACTTTCATGTAACAGTCGTCACCCTTTGTTTCAGCGATGGAAAGCTCAAAGGAACTTGCCTAAGAAAATCCTGCAGATTCTGGTGAGCTGACTCCTAATAATAATAAGGAAATTTGCTTTCTTTCCTCACATTGAATTTGCTGTCGGCTTTCAACTGTTTTTTTTTTTTTTTTGTTTTCTTGTGTAACTTTCACCTGTTTTTGTCTACAGGAACTGAACTTCCTATTCCAGAAAAGGAAGCTGACAAACTGCATACCTGACGAGCATTATGTGCAAACTTTGCTCACTGTAACCAAGCACAACTTCCATCAACAAACTTCTCTACACCATCACTTAAGAAAATTAAAGCTCCGTGACCTCTGGATAAATCGAATCCTTAATATTTACTTGCAGATGAATGAGGTGGAACACGAGGTCGAAAGGAGGACACTGACCTACACTTTGTGGGACAGTTCTCCAGCGAAAGACTGGAGGCAGATGTGGCACCCTGTCACTTTCAATCAACCTGATGCAGCTCCTCAGAAGATCAAAGAAATCAAGGTGGCTTACTGATTTCCCCCCTGAATCTCCATTTTTGTCTTTCTCAGATATTGCCAACTCCGGTTGTTTCATGAAATGTGGAGCAGGGAATCAACCACGTTCATTACGAGAGTGGACACAGGACAGAGTGGTGCAGGGTGGCTAACATCTACTCATCGTGCTTCTTGTTCGCCAGGAAGTTCAGCCAGGGAGCAGCCTTGCGGCTTCTGAATGATGGTGCGCTTGGTTTCCACGATCCTGAAGCTGCTTTGCCTGCATAGTTTGGGTTTTGGATGGGAGGATTTTTATTTATATTTATTTTTCTTCCCCAACAAATTTCAGTAGATTTCTTCAGAGAATGTTTGCTTCTCCAGCAAAATTGGTTTCTTTTGGCAGCCTTGCAAGAGCTTAAATTTCTAACTGAAATATGGAGAATTTGCACATATTATATACTAGCACTTGCTCTGGCCTCTTGGCCCCAGAGAGTTTGATTATTATTATTATGTATTATGTATGTGTTGTTACTTGTTACCGCTTATAATATGTGTTAATAGCAAAGATATGCAACTAACAACGATATATATGTTTACTAAGAAATTGTTTATAATTGTCCTTTAATACAGTTCAATATATTAAAGTTCAATATATCTATGGGATATTTTTCCCAATATTTACATTTTATCATCTTGGTTCTATCATGTTATAGATACAAAATTGTATGAGCAAAATACTAAGTAGATACTCAAGATGTGTCACAATGACGTGAAAACTCCATTAATACAACATTAAACTTACATATTTTGCACAAATAAATATGCGGTAAATTTTGTGACCGTTTTGCCCACAAGCGTTGGAGTGTGTCACTATAGAATCTGTTAGAGAAACCAATGCTAAGATTCATATAGAATATTCTTAGCTTGAATTAAGAAAACCCAAAGGAGTAATCCAGCGGCGGATCTAGGGGGCCGCCCCCGGGCCACGGCCCAGCCTTCCCCTAGATCCGGAGCTAGTATAGCCCTTGTAAATTTTCTATTTTATGTATTCGTTTATGTTCTCGTCGGGTTACGGCCCAGTCCTCTCTATTTCTTTTCAAATGTGGTCCAGTGCTCTATCTTATCCTGGATCTGCCGCTGGAGTAATCTATGCATTTTATACTTCAAAGTTGAATCATTGTATGCATCATGGCCAAAGCAGTTAAAATCGGGATTTTACCTAAAATCGAAAACTGGGATAAAATCGGAATTGTAAAATCAAATCGTAAAATCGTAGAATTTTAAGTACCATATAGAACATAAAATATAAGAATATTAGTGAGGTAAATCATTAATAACACAAAGACACATAACATTTAAAATGATAATTCTCATGATTAATGTTTCAAAATTACTATTTTAATTGTTATTTAATGCGTAACTTAAAATAATTCATGATGAAGGGATAGAGCTCATGGGGTTTCCCTCTTGTTTTCATTTTTTGTCTAAAATCCTATTTTAATTGTTATTTATAGTAAAATCAGGATCGGAATCGCTAAGTAAAATTCTAAAATCCTACGATTTTACGATCAAAATCCCGATTTTGACTGCATTGATCATGGCTAACTAGACTATGAATATTTTCATGTGAAAGTAAAGGTAGACAAAATTGTGGACGAAGAGTAAACTAATATCAAATACTCAATACGACACATTATCGAATTTGGACACCTGATGTTAAAGATTATCAATCTTCTTGACCCATCAGACTATACAACCACAAAAGAGGGAAAGCATAGAATTCAAAGATTAGAGAGGCGTGTGGCTAGCATGAATTCCCCAATAAGTATAACACATCATTTAGAAATGACATGGTTAGTTTGATACAAACAATTATTTTGACCTCAAGGGTCAATCAACATCACGAAGATTAAAGACTAAAAAATAAACAACCCATAAAATAATTGTTTGTATCAAACTAACCATGCTATTTCTAAGTGACGTGTCAAACTACATCTACTCCAATTGGCATCCAACCAAACATGCAACTTTCTTTTCTAGTTACCTTCATTGTCTTCAGCTTACCATTCAAATCTGGAGTACCCTGTGAAGGACATAAATTGATAGTCCCGAAACACACCATTGATATTTTGCGTTGTAAGTTCCAAATTCGCTCAATAAGCCTAAAAGAGAGAGGTAAATCCAAGTATTTTAAGAAATTAAAAGTTAATTATCACCAAGATTTGATGATTCCAAGAGAAAAGCTTGATAATAGATTCAACGAAATTGTTACAATTCTTCCCGTACAAGTCTCAGAGTCAGACTCCTCATAGTACCAAAGATTAATCTCCCAATGTATTATTACAAGTCTAACCCTCAAAATTAACTCTGAACCAGGGGCGGAGGCAGCCCTATTGGGCATTGTCCCGGGACAGGGGTAAATTTTGGAAGGAAAAAAATACTTCATATATGTTTATATGAAGGATGTAACACAACACCATTGTACTTCGTTATTATATCACAACTCATTATTTATCATAAATTGACAATGAATTAATTATTATACAATAAACGAAATCTCAATTGGAATAGTTCTTTTCTTTATATGCCTATTCGATTATTTGCAAGCAATCTTGAAGCAGTCCAGTGGCACCGCCGATTCCACTAGTTTTGACAGCAAGTGTCGATAAAATATTTTAAGCTTTGAGCTATCTGAAGAATGAACTTTGAAGTCAAACTCACGACCAGTTTGCTAATGGTTGTTTAGTGAGATCCATTGAAAAGGACTTACTTAAGTGTGTAGACAAAGAATGTATTGTGTGTTTCTTCCGAATATGAAAACTCGTCATGGTTGTTTATGAAAATACCGATTGTAATAGTAGTTATTTTTCATATATGAAAATAAATTATTTAGATATTATTAATTTAATTATATTCATTAAATATTTATATATTTATAATACCAAAAGAGGACAGGGGTAGTTTCAAATCCTGCCTCCGCCACTGCTCTGAACTATGCTTAACTTCCAGTGCTAAAAAGAATTTGCTCACTGGAGATGAGGAGTAAGATAAGCGGAAGAAACGAAGGGCGTAGGTGGAATGATTTTCTGAACGCGGAATGAAACGCAGTGTGAGAGATGAAGCAGGCGCATAGTCGATTATATCCTTCCGTGATAAAGGTGGCAAATGGATTGGATCCATTGATTGGTGGATTTGATTGGTAGATTCATGAATCAAGTGGATTGGGTCATGGATTGGTGAATTCATGGATTTGATCATACAGATTGGTGGATTGATCCTTGAATTCAAATGACATCCAAGACTTAAACCAAAATGTAAATTTTGAAAACTTTAGGTACTAAAATGTCACAAGAAAAAAAATTAGGTATCAAAATATAATTTTCTAATGCTAATTTCGTATAACTAAAGTTTAGGTACCAAAATGTAAATTTTAAAAATATAGGTACTAAATTATAATTTGTCATTTGGATTAGTTGGATATTTAAGTGAATGGATTGGACTGGTGAATTGGATTGAGAATTGTCATCTCTACTCTCAAGCCGACATTTTTGAAAATGACCTGCTATTTGTCTCCCGACAAATTACTATTTGTCACCATTGTGGGCGGCAAATAACAACTCTCTTTTTTAAATGGAGAAAACTGGAGACATGAATCTCCATATATATTTAGTAGATAGATTACATAAATTGATATATCACATCAATCTTACAGAGGTGTAGCTATTTCGAATGTATCAATTAAACAAAGCGTACAACATAAGTCTTAATGACTAAGAGAATACGCAAATTTTATGGAGGATAATAATTTCTTATGTTCAGTTAAACAAACAGAACTTATAATCCTTTTACGATAAAAGTTTGAATGATAATTTCTAAATTATAAACTATGTTGTTGATTAAATCATTTTGATTTACACAAATGTTTTATAAGGCCACTTATTTTTTACGTAACAGTTTAATTAAAAGTGATACTTATGTAACATAATTCGCTTATAATTAACTAATACTTCCTTTATTATTATCTATTATAATTTAGTTAATCTTACATAATAGTTTAATAAATATGATATCATTAAATTGATTTTATTATTAGCCACACATTACATAAGATTATATAACACTGTTATATAACAGTGTTATATAATAATAGTGTTTACCCAAAAGAGACTTGGGCATGCAAAATTGCAACAAGAAACAACATTCCCTACAATAGAAAGTAGCATTTTTCCCCCTTTTTTCGTTGAATCAAAAGCAACGAATATTCATGTTGCTTTTGGATTCATCAATACAGCATACACTATCTAATGATCAAAAGGATTTCTACCTCTCACATTTACTTGACAATTTAGCACTTTCTTCGCTTGCACTCTTGCTGTCATATAGTAAAAAGCAAGTAACTTTAACACACATGATTAATGCTCGTTCATCATCATTTATATTTCAAATTGCAGAGGTCTGCAGCATCTTAGATTAGAGTTTTTATCCTAATCATGTGTCTTAGTAATGCATAATGCCTGGAAATCTCTGGTTGATGATGTTAGGATCATTGTAAGCAACATCATCAATATGGTACTTTATGTAGCATAAAAGCAAGAAAACAACAGTACTTGTGTAGAATAGAGGAACTATTATGCAATAGGCCCTTTCTTATATCTTAACTATGTATTAACGATTAAAGAACTTTCAATAACACACAAACACCGTTTGCTATTTCAAGGTACGCAACGCCAATCTTTAATGATTTCGACGGGCCGTATGCAATAATCAATGGATTTGGCATGTTGGCTGAGATTGCATTCGCAATCTCAGTGTTTGTTTATGTCGACTCCAATCGAAAGAGGTTCTTCATTCTTCTTCTCCTCTGCACCGCACCGCACTAATGGTGCCTTCAGCTATCATGATGTACGTGTTTCTGAACGTGTTTCCTGGAAAGTTACGAGCTGAACTCGTCGGCTTGATAATCAACATATCAACCTTCACTGCCGTGATTTTCACCATGTACGATCTGGTGAGTTAAGATTCAAAACTTTCCAAATAATTGTAACTTAAGCGACCAACTAAAAAGTTAAAAATGACATATGTGTTTCTTTTTTTCCTCAATGCAGAGGCTAATTTAGAAGATAGAGGATATCAATGACCAACCACTTATCATCGTCATCTGCAACCACCTCGGATCTGACAACATGTGCGCATACTGGGTTTCGATACATTGTCCCAACAATTTTGTTAGTTTAATTTTATTAGTTTAATTTTACTTATAATGATCAAAAGGATTTCTACCTCTCACATTTACTTGACAATTTAGCACTTTCTTCGCTTGCACTCTTGCTGTCATATAGTAAAAAGCAAGTAACTTTAACACACATGATTAATGCTCGTTC